TACAGATAGCGCAAAATGAAGATCTAAACTAAAAGAGATCTAAAGGAAGATAACCCAATCAAAATTGTTACATATATATTATTTTCTATTAGATTAAATAAGATTTTAAAGAAATATATAAATATATATTATATTTAAAATTCTATTCTCTTAAAAATTTATAAGCTAAACTTTATTATTTTATTTCTAATCATATTATTTTTATATTATAATTATTATTTTTTATTTCTTAATTTATTTTATATAAGTATTATTAACAAATAACTTGTTTAATTTATAAATGTTAAAAATAAAGTGAAATTGAAAAAAAAAGTAAATCATGCAATTTTTTAAGAAGTAAATCAATCAAATTGCAAGATGTAAAATATTAATATAATTTTAATTATATTGAAAATAAGTCAAAATTTAAAATATATTATTATATATCTAATATAATTAAAATTTTGCAAATATTTTTTATTAGATCATAAAAAGTGATTTTATAGATAAAATATTTATTTGAATTTTTTCGTAATATATTGATCTTCGATTTGATTGGTTTATCCCTTAAAAATCACGTGATCTGCACTTTTTTTCGGTTTTATAAACTGATTTTCTTGTAGATCACACATGAGATGATCGATATGATTTACCAGAAAGATTACCTGATTCTGCGCTGTCCGTAAACTTTCCTTAATATGATTTGATTGGTTGTAATCACGTGAGCAATACCCCAGAGAATATATCGACTGATGTCTAACTTCGAAAATTACAAAGAGCACTATTGAGTGAATCTCGCGAGTTTTACTTTATCAAAATATTTTTTTTCGTGAAGCAAGTGAGATTCCAATCGAGAAAAGTCCACCTGCAACCTCTCCATATAATACCTCAAATTTATTTGAAGTCCTAGCCAAGACGCCTTTCATATTAACCTTTCTTCCCATGCGAGCCTTAAAGAAAGGATTTTCATCACCACTTCTTGCTTCTTTAGAGCTAAGGGCTTGAACTAGCCACCTATTTGGACCCCATGCGTAGACAATTTTACGAGTCTCTACGTAGGATAACTAAAATCAAAAAGCCTGAAAATAGCCCAGATCTCAACCTTAAAAAGAGCTCCTAGATGAATAACGCTATACTTTACGGGAGTTTAAATTGAATTAGATGTTGTTTTTAATTAGAATCCTGAAATAATTATAATGCACAAAATTTTGTTTATACAACTAAGATGCACAGTAATATACATGTAATACAAATCTGGTATTATAAAAGAAATTCTTTGAATATTATTAATCGTTATCGTTATGATTGGAATGTTTTAATTGTTTTAACCTAGGGTAGCTTAATCCACACTTACGCCACATCACAATTGCGTGAAATTTTGTTATGTGGCGCAGCGCTTGGTTTATGGTGTCTTTATTCATTGTGTTAAAAAATGATACGGGGGCTTATGACAAAAAAAGTCCTTTACACAAACTCTCTCTTCAATGCCTTTGCCACCTATAAAGATTTCCTCGACACCTAGAGAAACAACGTCACCCGTTTCTCCGACAACGCCAACAACACCTAAATCTGTGTCCTCGAGCAGTACTGTTTTTATTAATAATGCTTTGGAAACTATTAGCGCGAGTAGGGAGGGAAGAAGAAAGGGAAAACTAAAAGATAGTCTTGTCAAAGCTATTGGTACGTGAGTTTTCTTGGTGATTAGAGAATGCTTATATAAATTTATGTATATTAGATCTTCAGTTTTGCGCGGCTTGCTAGTTTTGCCCATGTAGAAATAAACTATACACTTCATATCTATTTTACAAAGATAGTTTAATAAAATGCGTGATTTGAAATAGATGTAGAAAATTTATTTTATGTGATTTATCATTAACAACAAAAATAAATCAAAATTATAGAAATGATCAAAAAAGAGGAAATGACGGGAGAAAGGTGAACAAATAGCAAATTCAACCAATTTTATGTAATATTATACACTTTTTTGTTCAGTTAACCATAAAAATTCAAAACTAAAAAAAAATTATAGTAGCGATGCAAATATAATATTCGAACCACTTCAATTGGCCTGCCAGACAAGATCCACATCTCTTATGATAACAGCACTAGACTGTATTGGAAAACTGATCTCTTATAATTATCTGATTGAGCGGCCGGTTCCATGGACCCCAGATTTGGGCAACGAAAAAGAACCTGGGACTACTACGCGTGTCATCAAAAAACCCTTGTCCGAACGTGTTGTTGATACGATTTGTGATTGCTTTATTGGCGAGTATACAGATGATAAAGTGCAATTACAAATAATAAAGGTGTCTTTAATGTTCTCTTTTAAGCTCGTTTTCATTTATCATTTAATGTTAATTTTTTGCATGCTGCTTTTTTTTAATCGCGAAAATTTGATCCCAAAGGCGTTACTTGAGGCTGTATCATCGACAAAAGTGCCAATCCATCAATCTTCTCTATTAAAATCAATTCGTACTTCTTACAATATCTTCTTATTATCACGAAATCCCAACAACCAAATCGTGGCTCAAGGGATATTAACACAAATGGTTCACCATGTTTTTGCGAGGGTGAAAATTCACGAGAAGAATAAAGCTTTTCGATCAGACACTACAGAAAAGCAAGATATTTCTAATAACAATAACAATAATAATAGTAATAATGTCAATGATAGTAGCAACATAAATGACAGTGTCAATGGTGAAATTAATAATGAGGATGTTTCAATTATAACCGCAGGATCAGAAATGGATCTTGGAATGATGATGACACATGATCAAGGAGGCGAGATGGGAACAGAACTTGAAATCAACGGTAATAACGATAGCGGTGAAATAACACGGGAATTTTCAAATGATGTGACTACTACACCGACTGTTGAACCAGACAATCCGTTAAATAAAGAATTAGGGCAATTAAAAGCGGCAAGTGATTCGCGAGAAGAGATTGTGAAAGCTGTTGCCGAAGAAATGGAAGAAAGCAAAGGAGGCTCAGGTGAATCTTCTGTAGAAGGAAAACTCACATTGTATGTATTGTTCTCTGAGGATGCTTTTCTAATATTTTGCTAATAGAATTTTTTCATTTTTTTTCTGCGCTTGAAAACAATCATTTAAAAATAATCCTCGAATGATAATAATCGAATAATAAAAGAAAATCTTTTGAAAATCGTAAATCATTTGAGGGTGCTTCCGAACTTGACAACGTCAACGGCACATCAACAACTAGACCCGACCTATATGTCAAGGATGCATTTCTTGTATTTCGAGCACTTTGTAAATTATCCATGAAACCACTGTCTTCTGAAACTTCAATGGATCTGAAATCGCACTCCATGCGGTCTAAATTATTGTCACTTCACCTGATATTAACGATATTAAGTTCACATATGCCCGTTTTTGCATCACTAGAAGTGATTATTACGTCATCGACCACTTATGAGAGTACACCGTTAATTCAAGCAGTAAAACAGTATTTATGCTTGAGTTTGAGTAGGAATGCTGTAAGTCCTGTACAACAGGTGTTTGAAATCAGTTTGGAGATATTCTGGAAATGCATGAGTCAGTTGAGAAGTCATTTAAAGGTATAGCTTTGAAACTGTAAAATTAATGCACTTTTTTTTAATAATCATTTGAAATAATATCTTATAATTTGATTTTGTTTGGCGCAGAAAGAAATTGAAGTTTTTTTTAATGAAATTTTTTTACCAATTCTGGAAATGAGAAATTCTTCAACACAACAAAAACATGCATTGTTGAATATTTTATTAAGAATTTGTAATGATCCACAAAGTCTTGTGGAAATTTACCTTAATTATGATTGTGAACGTGAAGCATTAGATAATATATATGAAAGGTAAGAAAGGAAATTAATAGTAAATATTTGTTGAAAGTCGAAATTTTTCCTCTTTCTATTAATTAATTTGATCTTAGGATCGTGAATATTGTATCAAAGATCACAACCAGTTATTCTACCGGGATAATTACATCATCTTCCTCAACAATATCTTCTTCCTTCGATCCAAACAAAGAATCATCTACGACGAACACATCATCTAACAAAAATACTGGATTTTCTTCTCCAATAGTCGTTATTCCACCGTCACTCACTACCACAACTGTTGAAAAAACAAAGCCACCTCAATCACCATCTAACTCTCAAACAGAACTCGTATTGAAAAGTCAAGGGCTTGAATGTCTTGTATCTGTTCTTCGTTCTCTCGTTGCTTGGTGTAGTAATAAATCAGATGAAGAAAATGATGCGTATTTTCGCAAAAGCGATGATACTCTCCTTGAGGCGACATCTCCTCGGTATTCATCATCCACTCTAAATAATACTAGTAATAGTAGTAATTATAATGGTATCGGCAACAATACACATACAAATACGAGTAAATCTTCGCCAACCTCTTCAATAGTGTCACTTGGTTCACAATCAACTAACACCAATGAGAAAATTACGAACGTTTGGAAAGCGATGGATGATCCCGAACAATTTGAAAATCTAAAACATCGTAAACAAATACTTCAAGATGGTATTAAGACTTTTAACTTCAAGCCAAAAAGAGTACGTGTTTTTTGCAGCTTATGTCAAATCCCTTATAGTAACAAAAGAAACAGAATTTAATATTGATATTCTGACTTCATAAAAAAAGGGTATTCTTGCTCTATTATCTGCAGGCTTCATCGCGAGCACGGCTCCAATCGATATTGCACGATTCTTGTTAACTTCCGAAGGATTGAATAAAGCTATGATAGGAGAATATCTGGGCGAAGGGTAAGAAAGAACTATTCTAATATAATAACGACCATTATTTAATTATTTTATTATTTCTTTATAGTGAACCCGAAAATATTGCTATTATGCATGCATTTGTCGACTTGATGGATTTCAGTCAGATGAGATTTGTCGATGCGTTGAGGCTATTTCTACAATCTTTTCGATTACCAGGTGAAGCTCAGAAAATCGATAGATTTATGTTGAAATTTGCGGAACGTTATGTGGACGGAAATCCAAATCAATTTGCGAATGCAGGTAAGTTGAAATTCTTTCTATACAATGAATATTCAAATGATAACCCTTGTTCTATATATATAAATAATAACATGTTTTACTAAACTGGCGATACAAATAATTAACGATAGACACCGCGTATGTTCTCGCATACTCTGTTATAATGCTTAACACCGACTTACATAATCCGCAAATAAAACGTCGTATGACTAAACCGCAATTTATTCAAAATAATCGTGGTATCAATGATAATGCTGATCTGCCGGAAGAGTATCTGGAGGCGATCTATGATGAAATATTAATCAATGAAATCAAGTTAAAGGATGAACAAGAAGCCGCGGTGATGCAACAGGCTGTGCCACCGCCATCTGGAGGTATCGGAATATCTACCATTGGAAATGCGATAGTTAATGCTGGTCGCGATTTTAAACGAGAAGCGTATCAGGTTGCGTCTGAAGAGATGGCTAATAAGACTGAGGTTTGATCTTACCTTTTTTTTGTATTGACAAGAGTTTTTATTCGATCCTATTTTGATTATGTAAATTTTATTATCGTATAATAGAATCTTTTCAAGAGCATGTTAAGAGCTCAACGTCGCGGTATTTACACAGCAAACACGACATTTTATAGTGCATCTCATTTTGAACATGTTCGTCCAATGTTTGAAGTTGCCTGGATGCCTGTGCTTGCTGGGTTATCGGGGCCTTTACAAATCACCGAAGACCCTCATATAGTAACTTTGGCTCTGGAAGGATTCAAATTGGCTATTCGCATAATATGTCTTTTCGATCTAGAACTTGAACGCAACGCATTCGTCACTACTCTTTCAAAATTCACATTTTTGAATAATTTGGGCGAGATGAAACCGAAAAACGTTGAGGCGATAAAAACTCTTTTGGATATTGCATTGACTGAAGGAAATTATTTGAAGGATTCTTGGCGTGAAGTGTTAATTTGTGTCAGTCAATTGGAAAGATTTCAGTTGATCAGTAATGGAGTTGATCAGACTGTTGTGCCGGATTTGTTTAATGCGCGAAAACCAAATCGGTAAGTTATCCTAAGGTAACTGTTTTTTTCTTGTTTCAATATGAATTAATAAAATTTTTTAAATATTAGAAAAAGTTCCGCTGAGTCTTCAGTTTCAAGACGTACTTCACTCTCTAAACGTTCATTTTCTTCAAAATCAGTTTCACAAGTAATTTCTTCTTTAATTATAGCAGAATTAAGAAATTTCTATTTATGTTTATAATTAAATTAACGATTCCGCATTGTATGTTAAAGGTTGTGTTTGCAGAAGACGTCGCGATGCAAAGCAGATCTTCAGAAGTTGTCGTAGCTGTCGATAAAATATTTAGTACAAGTTCAAATCTCTCAGGGGTATTTAGATACTTATATCATTTGTCGTTTTTTTATCATTAATTGCATGCTAATCACTTTATTATTTCATAAAAGACCGCTATAGTTGAGTTTGTACGAGCATTATGTGAGGTTTCTTGGGAAGAAATACAATCTTCTTCAATGACAGAACACCCTCGAATCTTCAGTTTACAAAAATTAGTCGAGATTTCATACTACAACATGGGACGTATTCGTATGGAATGGTCTAAAGTATGGGCGATTTTAGGCGAACATTTTAATCAGGTATTATTATTGATATGAAGAAAACACTATTGATTAATGCTTACATGAGAATCATAGAGATAATGATATTTATAATTGCCGTCATATAAAAGGTTGGCTGTCACCAAAATGTACGCGTTGGATTCTTTGCAATCGATTCTCTTCGTCAATTGTCGATGCAATTTTTAGCCAAAGAAGAATTGCCCCACTTCAAATTCCAAAAGGATTTCTTGAAACCATTCGCATATATTTTGGCCAACAACCCAAAAATCGAATTAAAAGATATGGTAGGTATTGTCGTATTGTTCAATTATTATTTTATTTCTTATTTCGTGTTTGAATGTAATTTTTTTGAATTCGTCTAGGTATTAAGATGCTTACAACAAATGATACAAGCGCGAGCACAAAATATAAAATCTGGATGGAAAACGATGTTTAGCGTGTTTTCATCGGCGGCGAAAGAGTCACATGGTAAGTAAATTCAATTGATTTAATTCTAATTTTATTAGATTTTTTATGGCATTTGATTTCTTTCTTTAGAATCGATTGTTGTCATGGCATTCGACCTTGTAAAAGGGCTATTCAAAAATCATTTCGAAGATGTGGTGGCTAATAGCACATACCCCGATCTGATGGTGTGTTTGTGTGAATTTTGTAAGAACGATCGGTTTCAGAAAACAAGGTATCCTGAACGTTTTTTCTTATAATTAGCGCGAGTTTTTCTATTAAAAGAATGATTCTTATATATTAATAATATTCTTCTGTTTAGTCTTCAAGCCATCGAACTGATTGATCAATCAATATCAAAAATGTTGGAGTATCCAAAATATCAAATTAATGGTCAAATAATCGGAACTAACGAGGATCCCTCGTTCAAATTCTGGTATCCTGCTTTGTTTGGTTTTCATGATATAATTATGAATGGTGATGACTTGGAAGTACGGACAAGGCAAGAATTCCATATCTGAATAGTTTGTTTACATTATCACTATCGATTAACTATTAATCACATAAAAATACAGAGCTTTGCAATATATGTTTAACACACTAAAAAAATACGGATCAAAATATTCAGAAGAATTTTGGGATGTCATCTGTCGACAAGTGCTCTTTCCTATGTTTGGCGTGCTCAAGTCCAGCGAAGACTTTCTAAAAGTAGATACACATGAAGATATGAGCGTGTGGTTGTCCACAACTATGATACAGGCTTTACGTAATATGGTTGATTTGTTTACATATTATTTTGATACTTTGGGGAAAATGTTGGATGGGTTATTGGATTTATTGTGTTCGTGTATTAGTCAAGGTAGTTGAAATTCCCATCTTTTTTTAAATGCCGTCGCCTATGGTCTTAATTCAGGATGGTATTATTGACCTGAAAGAAGGTCAGGTCTGATTAATAGTCACTTGTTCAAAGTTTTATCATTTACTTATATGAGCTTGTTTGTAAAATATAGAAAATAAGGCACTTTCACGGATCGGAAGTTCTTGCTTACAACAATTGATAGAGAACAATGTGACAAATTTAGATTTTGTGCATTGGGGAAAAATTAGTCAAGCATTTTTACGGTTATTCAAGATATCGACACCTTATAATTTACTAGACGAAGACAATCATTTCCTTGAATCGGCACATGAATTATTTGATGAAGAGGAAGCGATGAATGAAGGTAACAAAGAAATCACAAATTTTTCATTGCAAATTGAAAAGAGGATGGCTTATTTTAATTTCTTTCTATTGTATTTTATAAAAATAAAGATCAAGAAGACGAAGATCTCGTGATAGACATAGACTCAGTTCGGAAAGAAATCAGTAGTTGGAACAACGACAGCGAAATTGATGAATTCTCTTCACCCGCAAAGAAAAAAACAGCACAGATTCGTCAACGACATTTTGAAGAATTCGACGACATAAAAGTGAAATGTATACTACATCTGCTTGTCATTGAAAACATCAATGAATTGTTGAAAACAGAAATTATTTATAAGTCGATGCCAGTCGAACATTTATTGATTATCGCAGGGTGTCTTGAAAAATCGCATGAGTTTGCGATTAAATTTGATGAGAATTATGAGTTGAGGTTGGCGCTTTGGAAATTGGGTATCTTTGTGTTTTATCTTGTGATTGGTCATTTTTTATTCTGAAGTTGAAAATAATAACGAATTAAATATATATTTATAAAAGGATTTATGAAACGTCTACCTAACTTGCTAAAACAAGAATCAATTAGCGCGACCTCATACATAAATCTAACGTTACGCATGTTACGTGATCCAAACGAAGATCGACGACAAAAAAAGCAAGAAATAGAAATGCAATTAATACCGTGTGTATTTTTGCTATACTAAATCACGCAAATAACATCCTAAAATTAATAAACCATTTTTCATTCAATTTGACTTTTTTAATCACAAACAGACTAACATTAAATATGCTACGACGCTATAACTCTTTCGACCGTAAGACTCAAGCACCATATGTTATCGCGTGGACACCGGTCATTGCTAACGTACTTCATGGTTATTTGAGTTTTTCTGATGAAGATGTGAGTTCTTTCTAAATAATAATTCTCAACGTTTTTTTTTAATATCTTTATCTAACAATCTTTTATTCTGGCATAGTTTCTAAAGTATATTAACAACATTTATCCGGTTGCTTTGGACCTACTACTTCACGATATTGGAAAAGATGTATGTCCGGCTTTGCAAGAACTATTTATACGAACTGGAGTTCTATATAAAATAATCAACACCACATCCACCGTCATCTCGAACTGAAAAATATCAATTACCACCCCATTTCTAATCCTTTCATAGAGTAATTTAATTTTTTTATAGTAAAAAAGTAGATTTGTAATATATTATCACGGACATGTGATAAAATGTCACATGCACGTGAATCATTTGATAATTTATGTGGCCGCGATTTTCATAGAATTAAAAAAGTGCAATCATTCTTAACACATTCGTACTAACATTGTAAGTTTGAGACTTATAATGTAAACGATGCCTCCAATTTATATGCAAAAAAATATAAAATATATTCAATAATAAAAACACTGAGCAATGAAAATCAAAGAAATGAGAAAAATTTCAGAAGTTCAAAATATAAAAAATTTAAATTAAAGAGAATGTTAATAATTATAAGATAAATTTGATATTTAATTAATACAATCAGATATAACATAAAAACAAAAAGATTATTTTATTAGTATTTAATAATTAAAAAATAAAAAAACCCTTAGTTAAATAATAATAAAGAAATTATTGTTTTTCAAGTTAATTTTAATATTAAATAATTATAATAATATAAAGTTAGTTTATTAAATAAAATATAATAAATTATTAGATAAATTAATTACAAATACAGTTAGTTATAAAAAAATTAATTTTTTAAATTCATTATAATTTAATAAAGAGTTATTCAAATATAAAAATATATATATATATATATATATATTGTTATCTTTTTGATACAAGTTTGATATGAGGGTGAGTATTAATTCTAATATTATAAAAGTATGTGATAAAATTGATCATATGCTTAAAGTGATATTGGAAGAGTCTTTAAAAGATTTATTAACAAGAATATAAATGTTATTATCTTAAGATTTATTTAAAGATAGATAATGATAGTATTCTTATTGTAGCTAGAATATAATCCAACTCTAAAATATAATTTCAAGACAGATGTAATATATAGTTTATTAACAAAACAAAATAATAGATCTTAATCAAGATCTATTCTACAAGAGAGATTTCTTAGAATTCTCTTAAAACTAAAATCTACTTAAATATGAATTAAGAACTAAACTTATAGAACTCAAACTAACTAACTAATTAACTATTAACTAACTTTTTAACTATCTAACTGTCTTGTCTAAATTCACTAGCTAAGATATATCACTTTTATATATTTTAAAGATTATACAAATGATACTTTTGTTATAATACTTATGTTAATTTTGTTATAATCTAAATATTATTTTAGCTAGTATCATAATATTAATTTTGTTATGATAATATTATTATTTTTACTATAATAGTTTTGCTAACTTTATTATGATAATTTTGTCATAATTATTGTATTTGTGAAATTTTCTAAAAATATCTATAAATAATATTCTCTAAAGCTAATATTTAATAAGATATAAGTAATTATTCATCCAATCATATTATGATATGAAGTAACTAATAATATAATTAATTAATATTCTACTAAAAGTTTATATCACAATAATATAAATTATAAAAAGACTTTAAGATTATTTCTAAATAATATTAATTTATTTTTAACTAATTTTTTAAAATAGTCTTATATATATTACATATATAAAGGTATTATAAAATAATTATATAAAAATAAGTTTAATTATATTTTCTTATTAAAAATTTTATTAAAAATTCTTATAATTTAATAAATAAGTTATACAGTAGTGATTATAAGTATTCTACCAGTTATATTACTTAAATATATATAATAATAACTTCTTAAATTTTTCAGATAAAAGATGTATAATAATATCTGATTATATATAAAATTTTAGTTTAAATAAATATTGTTAGCAAATTTTTCAAATATCAAATATTTTGTATTAGATTATACTATACTTTCTATATAATGCCAATCATAAAAATTCAAAAATTCATATTTTGATATTTTCTAACAAAATTTTGTATTCTTTTTTTTTCTCTTTTATTTTTTGAACTAGCTATAATTATGCTTAGGATTTATAAGCAAATTATAATATGATCACTACTATGAAATATAAATAAGGATATAATATAATAACTCTAAAAATTATAATACATAGTTATTTTCTTTATAGTAATAGTTATTTTATAATTTGACTAGATATTTCAAAAATTATGTAAAGATAGCTTTGATAAGCAAAGAAAAAAAGAATTATGAAAATTAATTAAAAATATATGAAGATATGAATTTTTAAAGGTTTAAATTCAAAATAAGTGAATGTGATTTTAATATATTTTCATATATTTTTAAAGTAAAATATCTAATATTTGGAAAATTTACTAGTAATATTTGCTTGAGCTGAAATTTTACATATAATCAGATCTTGTCATATACTTTTTGTCTGAAAATTTTAAGAAGTTATTATTATATATATTTAAGTAATATAATCAGTAGGATATTTATAATTACTACTGTATTAAAAAATTAAAATTATTATATAATAAAAATAAAAATTTTCTTTTTATATTAAAATTTATAATTTTATTAAATATTTTTTATTTTTATATTAAATAAAATTTATAATTTATAATTTTTTTAGATTTTTTTAGATTTTTTTAAAAGAATTATTTTAATTATAAAGTTATTACAAAAATTTTTTTAATTAAATTTAAAATATATAGGATATAACAAAAAATGAATATTTTATTTTTAATAAAAATATATATATTTGATAACTTAGTGAAAAAGTTTACTTAAAAGTATTTAATAGCTTATCTTAATAAAATTTTTCATAATTAATATTTTTTTATTAAA